AAACTTCCATGGGTCTACAACGCATTCGCACACGCACATAAGCGCTCTCCTGGTGTTGAAAACTGAAAACGATCGTCCGTCGCATAAATTGCACCGTGATCCACGAAACCTGCCACCGTTGGCTATGACCGAATGAGTAGCACTTTGGTCCAGAGGACTGGAACAAAAATGAGCATTTCTGTTTCGCCTTGCAGTTGCGGGTTTACAACCCAAGCAGGCAGTTGCATAACGACTGTCAATTAATGATCGATATGTTTTGTCGACAAAGATAGGGAGGTGAGATGGTAATCAACGAGTTGGTAGGTCCTGTTCCCGAACATTTTGTGTGTATTTTCACGGTCTTTTTGCACATGAATGCCTGGCGGGCTGCCTGCGTGACCAGTTATCTCGACGGGGTCAAATGTTTGAAACCCAGCATGGTGATTTGTCAGCCGTCCCGTCAGATGAGCTGATCAGATCACCCCTAGTCGACCTCGCCGTTGACCTCATTAAGTCAACCGCAGTCATTCTGTGCGTCCAGTACTTAAAATTCGAAGGGAGTTAGAAATGCAAATTGATAGAAATGACATTCGAAAACAAAACCTCGAGAGAAAGTCGGCCTAATTTTTGACTGTCGCTGGTCAAAATGATCGTTCCTTGAAAGTTAAAGGTGTGGCTAGTTCGAAACGTCAGAAAGACAATAAGCCTGTGTCGGTTATTTTTCCTTTCCGATAATCGCCCTGGGACTCTTGCTTTCGCTTTGTTGGACAATGACAACGGAACATTACCCCGTCATCCGAACCAGCGGCCATAGGGCTACTGGTTAAGTGCGGACGGTTAAAAACCAAATGGCCCTTCTCTGACAATAATGTCTCCCCCAGTGAGCATCTGCAACTGTACTATAATTTTGTAGGATAAAAGCCACCCTCAAAGGAGTTAGAAGGATGCAATTGTCGAAATGTTAGGTTCCGCCGAAATGATCGGAAAGGTCCCCACATTCGATTGCAAATAGAATATACCCAGTCACCTTTCGAAGGTACGTTTCTCGCTTCTGCCAGAGCTCTAGTAACTAGTAAGGCTTGTGAGCAAAATCTTGCATCCTCTATCATTCTTAATTGAAAGTTTTATATAAGTTCCATCAGTTAGCGTCTTTTTTAAAAAAAACCGAACATCAGGCTGATGCCGGGTTAGACTCACCTGGAAGGGAAGATCTGCAAACGTCTTAGCCAAATAGTAGGCTTGGACGCTATACCAGTAGTTGAGATGTTCCGTAATGAAAACCCGCATTTCCAGTGGGACTAAAATAAATTTGAATGCTGATAAAAGGTGTAATGAGACAAATCGAAAATAATGAGAATTAGAACTAGTAGAAACCACCTGCTCTTCTTTACTTTACTTGTAAATTAGATGTTTCCCACAAGCGTGATTTTCAACGTCGAATCAGGAAGAGGGCCACCGAAGATAGACATTGGTTCAGCGCATGAAAACAGGCGCTGATCTCTGAACCTGAATAAGCCGTATCTTATTTACTGGGATAGTTCACCAGTTAGACCTACGATAAGAGCACATCAGGGTGCCAGTTCAAGTTGGTTCTCAGTCCACAGGACAGAAGCATCTCGCTTACTGTTAATCCACAAAGCCAGGACTTTTAAAACCTCAAGGGAGCTCAGACGCGCTTCATAGTTATTATAACGAAAAAAGGTCGCACACGGTCGGCCTCATTGGACCTTTACCCTCACACAGTGAATCACTGGGGAGACTGAGTCATGTCGACTGGAGATGAAACCTGGCGAAGCGGCATTTCGCTCCGAGAACGTCGTGTGCTCCGTAGGCGCTTAGGCATCGCCAAGGCCTAAAACAACGGCGTAGCCGCTTTGAGGGAGGGGGGGCAGCGGGATAACTTTATAGAATATGGGAAATGTGGCGCCAAATGGGAAAACGGTCCTCAGGAACGGTGAAGGCACTCACAGGTCATGACGGTGGGCATCAGCGAAGAAAACATAATGAAGAGGACGGAAAAGAAGATGAACGCAGCATTGTTTATCACCAGACTGCCTTGATCCCCTATGTTGAAATAGAGCAATCCAATCAAGATGCCCACGAACACATGTGCCATCAGTCGTAATCGAGTAAGGGTCTACATAAAAAAGATGCGATATCAAAAAATTCATAAAGAACGTGAGAAACAAATCCACAGTCTTCATATCCGTAACATGACTTAAAAAGAGAACTCACTATCCCGCCTGGGCAAACTGGTCTGTTTAGAAGAACAGCGTTTCAATCCCTCTTAAAATCGTACGTAAGCACTTAAGGATACGAGGTTTGTTCAGCCGAGTGCTCGACCGGAGATAATCCTCTGCACTGAAAGCGTGATAAGAGGACTATGAACTTCCACACGTGTAAGGCTCCCCTGACTCCCGTGGTTGATGACTGCCTACCCGTGAGTATTGTCGGCCAGCAAATAACACTGATCACCAGGTGAAAGTTTCATAAGACCCGGCACTGAATTCGAATGATAAAGCCGAAGCCACTGAGTTCACTTACGCATTATCTAGTTCGCCGATGGCTACCGAAATGCGATTGGAGGCAATGTCGTCTAGCTGAACCTTTTTACAAGGGTTATACCCCAACCTAAGACACCTACGAACGGTGTGATGCGGCTAAAAGTAACTGACATGTATTCAGCGCTACCATTCAAGAGATCGATGCTGTCAATTATCTAGTGAAAGCCTCGCCCACGATTTATATAGTGGTATAAGCGCGTTTGTAGCAGATAGTGATAACAAAAATAATGGACGGACATGAGAGAAATTAATTGAGTATGCCACAGGTAGTTGTAAAAATGGCCAAAAACTTGAGAAAACTACGTTTCTCATTCTGACTTAGAACACGCCTTCAAAAAATCTAGGGTGACCTCCTTTTGACGCGCTGCCTCCATCTCACGGGCTCTTGGCGTCCTCACAGAGCATAGCATTGCCTCTCTTAGAAGCAATGAGAAAAAGGCTTTTGCTCAGATGTTTTCAGTCGCTTTTTTCCTCCATCCTCAAACAGAGCAGGACTTAATCCATATGGTCCTGAAACTTGTTCACATTAACGCTCCCAGTTCGAAGACGACTTCGGCCGGTAGTAGCTGCCATTTCGATAGACTTCATACAGTTCGATGTCGTCGTATGCAGCTTTTACACAGGTAGAAATACACTTGGCAGTGAACATACCACACTTTTGCTGACCGCCAGCCAAAGCACAAAACAACTTCCCCTCTTCGTGGGTGATTGTATCTACAACGGGTGCACGTGTGTCATCTGTCGCATAAATGAAGGCAGGATTGAAAATAATGGGGAATTTCCACATACAAATGCTCACAATCGACTCAACTACCCATACAGCCGGATTGGTGGCCACTGCCATCTAAATTGGATAAACAAGCAGACAAATGTAGACCTAAAAACGGTGATCATTCAGCGCAGAAAATGATGATAAATAAAATCTGCCTTAGTACTCCGGTGGAATGTTAAATGCTGATAGCGAATGTTCGAAAGTAACTTCTAACAGAAAAGTTACAATGGTTTCCAATCACAGGGCATGTGCAAATTTGTAGCTACCGAACTCACTCTGTTGCACTATACGGTAAAGTCAAAAAACTACACGGCCTTAGAGAAAATCTACGTTAGGCAACTGTAAAAAACAAGTGATTAGACTGGGTAATGTAGCTAGGCGCTTAGTGGAGTGACCAACATGTTGACCATGTCCGATCAGGCTAACCAGACCCTACATCTCTAGGCTCCCAAAACCCCTTTCAGCAGTGACTTGCTGGGCAGCGGTTATGTGGCGCAGCCTGGTGGAGAGATGCTTCCCAGTACTTCATGGATTTCAAGGTGGACGTCTGAGTCCGCCCCCAGTGCATGCCATGTTAAGGTTCCAAGACGGTGCCGGACAGTGGCAAGGAGAAGCTTGATTGAGTGGAGGGCTGCGTGTGTCACGCGTAATGTCGCTTTAGCTTGTAATGGTGACCGAGTTGCCAGCTCTGTGCCAAAGCAGGTCTGAAGGTAGTACCGTCACACAGCCCACGACCTCTCACTAGTCAGGCCGGATAACCAACCTATATTGTAGGCAGTCTTCGCTGAATCCCGTTTACTTATCCGGCGCATGTGGGCGTGTCGGGCTAGCAAGTGGGTCCCGACTTTCCGGTTTTCCTGTCGTCCCAGCAGGCATGGCAGTGTGCTTAGTGGACTCCAACATGCAGTCCCATTCTGTCTTCGGATAAATTCAGTTTAAAACTACCGAGGCGGTAGATAAAGTGTTATGAGTTGCCGGCTCAATACATATTAGAAAGCCCTGACGACACGGTCGATCAGTGGGAGATGCTGCAGGAAGGTTTTACGTCCGAAAGAAAAAACACCGCGATATGCCGTCCGGAACAAAATGCTCCATCTCGCCAAGTTTACTTAAACAGTGGCAGGCATTCAAGCATTTTCTGGGCCGGTTATGAGTCAGGCAGGACATGGAAATAGGAACGCACCCTGTGTCGTGGGTCCTCCGCAAGTATTAGGGGCTAGGGCTAGAGGCAAGTTTAGGGTTAGGCTAAAGGGTTAAATTAGGGCTAGTGCTGGGATTAGCATACGAGAATATCTACACCTCCTGGGATTTTGCGCATGGTTACCTGTGTTGCCGCGCTGTTCCTATTCCCGTGTCTTACTGAGAATCCTACTAAACACGTCCAGGAGTACTTGGACTGCAACATTAGAAGACTCTAGTCACCCTTTATTTTGTCAGTGCGCGCCTGCGCTCAACTAAATTAATGAAAGTAGTTACCTTTGGCAATTTAACCCAATATGAGTTAGTGAACCAATCATCGCAAAGGAAGTCTACCTGCGTAGCGACTTTCATGCGAATGATTTTCTCTGTCCTTTAGATAAAATTCTCCTGTAATTTTCATTTGCTCTTCGTAATTGATGAAAAGTCCGGCTGTGAATGACAGAAAGGGAACTGCCATCCGCTGACCTGAACGCACAGTATGAGACGTCTGACACACGGCCTTATTTTTCGTTTTTAGCGATGCGCT